CCCACCCTTGTTTCTAAGCAGCATTCTCTGGCACCTCCTCCCGGTCACATCTGTTCCGTCTTTCTGGCATTTAGTGAAGAATGCTGAATATTATTAGACTGTATCACCATGGTTGGACTCCATCACGATATTTAATATGTATATCAGCAGGATTTAGCATTGTGTCCAAACCCTGGTAGGTACTAATCTGTATTTGTTTACAGATGCATTAATAAATAGTGCATAATTAATCTTCAGTTTTTGTTACCCATTGTTGAGCTTTTGCATACACTGAAAGCAATTAAACATCCCTTGGCTGTCCCGTAGGCTTCCGAGTACCCTCTTTTCTTTGAACACTGTCAAGAGTGGTTTTACAGCAGATCTCCCTCTTGCAACAGAATTTCTTGACTGCTGCTTTCACCATAGTTGAGTTTGGATCGACTTAAAATCTTTGACAACTTCAATCTTTCTCTATTATCATGGTCCTCATATTGCAATTCTGAAGTTTTTTTAAAAATTATGTTGAAGTGTAATCCATATTGGAAATGTAATCTTTGGTCTTCATCAGTGGTTATTAGATATTGACCAAAAGCAATTCTCATGATATTTTAACTATCACACATGTCACTCAGTTATTATAGGTGTAAAACAGTGTATACGAGTATTCTTTAAAATGTAACACATCATAGTGTTACATATTTGTGATTAAAATTATGCTAGTTTCCAGTGATTTTGTGATTTTCTTAAAAGTAATTTAAATAATATGTTGCCAAGTGAAATATTTTATTAGTATTAGTGTAAAATAAGCCTAAATGAAAATGCTCTAGAATGTGTTATTACTACAAAATTAGGACATGTTCTGATTCACATTTTTGAGTACATAATCAGATTATCACAAATAAATGAACATTATTTTTACAGGATATGCTATTATACTTATTAATAATACGTATTTGAACTCATGAAGTCTACAGCTAGTACATAAAGATGCTGTACCTCGCATAGGTGCCGGGACACTGTTTGTAGCATTCATAACCAGGTTTTAGCATTGTGCCATGCCCTTAGCTGGAACTAATACATATTTGCTTATTGACTGGTCAATGACTAACCATGTGTCAGTTCTGTTGACAACCAGAGGGAAATCAAAAGGTAGTCTTGACAAACTCAAGAATAGGAGGGTCTGACAAGTAAAAGAATATGAAAAATGTATAACTTATTTGTAACAGTGGTGGTAATATAATTGTTCAAATACATATAATTAGTAGTTTCTTTTTTTCTCCTAGAGAATCTTAGGGACATAACCAGCAAGATAACTTTTTATTGGTCCCAGTTTCCCTTCTTTGTTCTGTGGGAGCGTCTTTAAGCCTGGGATCCCTAAGGAAGGGCTCAATCTCCACATTCATCCTCTCATTTCTCTATCTGTCTTCTCATGTGCATTCAAGAAATACTGTGGAGCACACGTTTTAGGCTCTGTGACTCAAAAATGAACACAAGGCAGCCTTTTACTTATCTCCCTTCTCACGTTCACAATTTCGGGTTTCTTCGTGTAGATGAGTATGTAGGAGTGCTAACACAGCCCATTTATATCATTTTATTTTAAAATATAGAAGCTTATAAATCAACATACAAGTGTAGACATTGAACATATAAATAGGACAATAGATGTAGTAAATAGTTATACATTGCCATTTAATACAGACTTACATAATATAGAGTCAAAGTATCAATTTTTAAAATCTTGACATAAATATGATAATTTCATACTTTTGATGTCTTCTACCAAAAATTAGCAGAAAAACCTGTCAAAAATGTGACTCTTTAAATTTTAGCTAAACTGAAATAATATTAAAAATAAATTGTGCTTTCCCTAAAACATCTCCAATCCTTCCTGTCTTCAGGTCCAGTCTTGTTCTCCCCATATTAAGGGAGGGGGAGCTCAGGGGAATTACATTAGTCTATCATTTAAAATTGTCACACATGACTGTGGGATACAGAAAGGTTTCTCCCCAGGTTGTTCCCCAAATAAATGCCAGCCCTAGGATACTGCTTGCTAGCACCTGGAGGGTAGTCTGCTGCTTAGAAGTTTTCTCCCTGAGGGTACCAGCCATAGAGCAACAGACCCCTGTTGTATGGACTCCCTGCTGATAAGGATAGCGGATTGTTTTCCTGAAGGAGAACCCAGAGGTTGACAAGGTCAAGTCAACTCAAGGATGTCCAAAGTTAGGCTGCAATCTTGAATCTAGGATCCGCCCATCTTGTCACATGTGTACCCCTAGGCCGTACCCTTGCTATTGCGTGTACACCCCTCCCATTGAATGTATTGCCTATGGTACAACCCCTTCCTGTGATGATGTAATCATGGGGCTTGCACGTCGTCCCCTCCGTGTATTTAAGCCTTGATTAGAAATATACTTGCTCTCTAACTTTCTCTGCGTGGACCTGGCTGCTGAGATCATGGCCGTCCCTGAGGTGAGCATGCTACTACGAAATGTGTCTGACTCCTTTATTTCACTTATGCTCCTATCTGTTCTGTCCTCTATGGCTCTACTGTGCTCTTTATATATTAGAGCTGTGCAGTTGTGCCTGTGGACCGCTCGCTTGTCAGAAGCTGGTTTCTCTGACACATGGCTGAAGAGCTTTTGCGCTTTCCACAAAGACGCTACTCGGTTATTATAAAATGTCTATTATGTGCCAGGAATTTGCTTCAATACTAAAAAGAATTTTGATTTAATACATATATTTATTTTTCACTTCATAATATTATCTTGTAATTACCTAGGGCCCAATTATATTAACAAAATAATATAGAAATATGGGACTAAGATCATTTGGGGGACATTTTTGATTGCCAATCAATATTGAAATCACTAATCAAAAAATCAGCTCCCTTTTTTACAAATAAAATAGAAGGTAACAAAATATTGCTACAAAAGTTCCAGTCCATAGATGCATGGGTATATTCCATGCAAAATGTGTTTACATCTGTCTCAATCAGTGGATGGTTGCAGATAAATACTATGAGAATACTCTTGTCTTAATCTAATTAGCATGCCTTAAAAAAACAAAAAGGTTCAATTAAAACTATGGCTAAAGAGGGCATCTGAGGGGCCAGTTAAACTCCAGGCAAAGAGATAAACTCAATAAGTCATGGTGACTGTTCATTGAAACTCCTTATATATAACTTTAGTAGGTTTTCTATAAAGACACAGGACAATAATTATGAATTATTATTGATCATCAGGGGCTTATTATGAGTGTTTAAGAAAATTGAAAATGGCACTTATGAAAAAAGCTACAAAAGTTATACCAAGGGATTTTCCCCAGGATGTCAACGCCCTTGCTTGTTCCTGGAGGAGAGCAAGGGTCTTTCTACAAGGATTTCCTTGTGAAATCGTACTCCTTCCATCTTACAGAGCTGGCCCTGTGTCTTCATATTCCTTTTTACTCCTCAAACTGAAAGAATTTTTTCCCAAAAAACATTTTATTGGGAGCTAATATCCCTCCATAGTTCAATTGCTTCAAGCATTATTGTACGATTGCTACCACAATCAGTTTCAAAACAGTTTCTTTCTTCTTGAACTCCTTGATATCAGTTCCAGTTTACTTTCCCTCCCTCATGCTATCCCCCAGGGATCCTATTCTACTTGCTGCCTCGACAAGTTCATCAGTGCTGGGTTTTATAGACTGAACAACCGAACAGCGTATACCCAAAGCTCAAGAAGGTAACCGCCAATGGCAAAGTACACGGACAAACTCCAGCATGAAACAAACACACCAAACATACGGAAAATGTTGCTCAGCCCCAACGTGCATCAGAGTGGGGTCAACTCACAAGATCTTAACCATTTAAGTAGGTTTATTATTTTGGTTTCCTATAGTCATCTCTCCAATGCATTGTTTGGTAAAAAGAACATGATTTGGGTCCTTCCAGGATGGTCAAACTGCCATTTTGATATGGTATAAATCAAAGAGCATAAAGCCCACTAGAGAAGGGTTAGAAAGACAGACATGATGCATATAGACCTACATGAAGGGAATGTGGAGAAACACTGGCTTCAAATCTGATGCTTTTACTTGATAAAGCTTCTATGGTTTTGTAGCAATACTTTTTGACTTAATCTATCTGTGCTGTCTGGAAATGAAATTAGATGATCAAATTTATGTGAGTAGGTCCAAGGTTTTCTTTGTCTTCTACCAATGTATTCTAATTCTAGGTTATTTTGCAGTCAAAAATGTCTATGTATGTTTTCACTATTCTTTAATCAAAATTTTAAAACAATGCATCTATAGTCTCATCATATCTCATATATGATTCATACCAAAATATGCTTTGAATTTCTATGTGCTAGACTTTCAAGAGAAAAACATGGACTGCCATCTATCACATACCACTTCCACATCACCCTAGACTCTAACTTCACCCTTTTCCCTGTAGAAATAGACCTGTCATGAAAGTGACAATCTGGGATTCACACAAGACACATATCTGCACATTTTTAGGTGTATAGATTAGATATCTCTTATCAAATGTGCTATAGGTAAGAAAAATTTTTAATTTCATTTTGCTAAACATTTCTTGTAGAAAACATAATAATTTAAAACTAAGCAACAAAAACAACAAAGTTACTTAAATTACTTCAAGCCCTGTCATGCTGAATGTATCTCCTTAATACTTCCAGGAAAATGACATATAATCCTTATGGCATGAAGTACGAAAGAGGAGATTTTTTGAGGGAAACATGTTCTTTGAGGTAACTTACATGCATAATACAAACTGTAAATTATATATGTTATCATTGAGAAAACAAAATATGAACAGAGTCCATATTTCTTTACAACTTTAGATTTAAGTAGCATGGAAAGTTCCACAGTTTATTTTGACTAGTGTCTGACTTTCTAATTGACAAGCTAATTAAAAGGGTATGCTAGACTGCTTGTCCATACCAACTTCAATATGCAGCTGTCCTGGGGGAGAGACATACAACTGAACTTGTTGACACCTGAAATTAAGCAGCACTCACCCGAAAAACTGTCATTTCTTCAAGCAAAACTTCTTCTAAATCATGCCAAGTTTCCTTAGGAATTGAAACTACTTTAAGAACGGTCCCAACATCTTTGAAAGAAAAGAGCAGGGGTAGGAGGAGAGCACAGTTTAAATTGATCAGAGCAGTTTAATGTTAATGTATACAATGATCTTATTTTGTTCAAAAACACCGTTTTATCTCAGTCTCCCATGCCAAATACTTTTGCCACATTAGTAAAATATATATTCAAATGCACTGCATGCAATTAGTTAGCTTTTAACAGTAGAATCAAAAGAACTGAATTTTTAGAAACACATTAAATTTTGAAGAAGGCTTTATCCTGAAGAGACATTTTAAAAATGTAATAATAAACACCACAGAGATATGCCAGATTGGATTAATTTTTTATGGTTTTAAAATCTCTTCAATTATCAGGCACCTTGGAAAATGCCTAAAAATAATACCAGTTTGACATGTCAGGTTCTTCCACTTTTATTATGAAATCAAGGTGCAACTATAAGCCCTAAATGTGGAAGGAAAAGGAAAGTACACACAAAATATATGTGTTTAAAAAGGACAATGTCAAGATGAAAGACCAGAGAACTCTAGCTGCTGAGCCTCAGGTCACGTTTAAACACCGCAACCCCCAGTCCAAGGCCATTGTCCCACAGTTAGTGAAGTCTCATGCACAGTAAGCCTATAGGACAGGTTTCCAAGGACATAAATCTTGAGGCATGCAGATGCCATGTCTTTCTGTAGTGCAGGAGTGAGGGGCCTTTGATGGAAGACCGGCACTGAAGGCTCTAACGCCAGTGCTTCTCTGGTCAATTCAGGGTCCCCTCAAGACAGTTTTGAGTCAGAGTTAACTAGATGGCAGTGAGTTTGGGGTTTTTTGAAAATACAGTTGAAGGCCCGTTGGTGGCACAATAAATAAGTGCTGGCCCGTCAAATTCCCAGCCAGTGGTTCGATTGCGCTAGAAGTGCCAAGGGAGAAAGATGAGGCTGTCTGTTCCCTAGGAGATGTGTACTTTTACAAACTACCCACTACTACCTCTACTCAGTCCCAGAGGGTTGTATGAGTCAGAATCAATTCGATGGCATTGAATTCAGAAGGATTGCTCAATGACTACTTAGTAATGGATGACAATGACCTGATTTCTAAAAATAGACACCTAGAATTTCTTATTGCCATGGTTTTTCAGTAACACACACTAATACATTTTGCAGTAAGATAGAAGTTAAAATTCTAAAGCAAAATAAACTGATTAATTAAATGTATGTAATAGATTTTAAGCATTATTTTTCCCAATTTTCATCATTAACCAGGCAAATCATTTCCATGATAGGTATTATTATTTTTAATCTAATTTGTTCAGAGGATCTTAATTTCCCAGTGTGTATGTTTTTTTTTTAAAGTATGTTCTTTGAAAGAAAGTAACGGGATTATTAAATTCATACATTTGACCCTTCACCATTCCAACTCTGGTAAAACTCAGTCCATTTGGTCCACTTTAATCAAGTTTAGTAAACTACTTGGGAACAAAAGAAAAATTTCCCAAGAAAAATATGTCAATCCCAACAATGATCATTATTTTCTAGGGACTCACATGATGTACATGCCAGATCCAGAAAGTTTAATAGTTAACTTAATGTTAAAAAAAAAAAAATCCCCTTTTAAGAGGATCCCTCTATGTTTACAGGACCTTAGACCACATGTAACACCAAAGATTAAAGGTAATTTATGTTAATCTACTCAGTGGCTCTGATCGGGTCTTTAGTGCCCAAACACAACTTTATCTGTGCTCCGGATCAAGCTTTACGGAGTAGCATTTCAAACAATTTCACACAAATTGAATCAGATTACTCATCTAGGATCGATATACTGTGTTGCGCAACTTAGTTGAAAGATAAAATTACTGCAATCAATTTACTTCGCTGACGGATGACCCTGGTCTGTCCTGATGGATAGCCATCCAATATCACGAAGACATTCCGCATGCTCATGAAATCGGTGCCTTTAAAGACTGATTGTGTCCAAGAGGTACTGAAAGCTCAGGATTGGGTTTCTTTGGACAAAGAGGCGGAAGCAAGCTTTTGTTGAACTGACGATGAGTGAGGGACTTTTCAGCAAGTTTTAACCAAAGGGGAGAATAAAGGCAGAGGGAAGAGCGTCACATTATTGAAGAAACTTAATTACTGTCCAGATACACATTCATAAGTTGACATTAAGTGGCAAGTTAATATTTAATGAATGACAATCTGCCATCTGATATTTTATAACCAGAAGTTAATTCTCCCAATTCATTGACATTTATGATATTTCTAGTGGCTGGACCCTGAGTCTCCTCGGAAATCTTGTATTTGGTAGGGAAACTTTCTCACCCATAAAAGTAATCTGTAGTGCGTTGCTCCAAATCTGACACTGTTGCACCTGATAGCATAAGTCTTTCACAATTTTGTTATAAAACTTTTAGTTTTTAAAGCACTTACTGCACAGTTGCCATTCCCCTGTAGTTAATGTAATTTTTGTGTGTGCTGTTCTCACCAAGGGGAAATAAATGTTATTATACAAGGTTTCACTAGAGCACTCACTCTGTTTCTCATTGATTTATGTCAGTTAGCAACGTTAATGGAGTCTAGGAATTTATTACCTTGAAATCTGACCCTAAGTAGCAAGTTTCAGATTTGTAACTGGTACTTTCAAAAATTTTAATATTATTAAAGGGAGTATGAGAAAAATAAAATTATGTGCCCTGATAGCAATGTAATTTGTCTTATAAATTAGCCTGCAAATAGTTTATTTCTAATCCTGGGATTAGTAAGAATATGTAGTTAAATTCACCTATGGATTTATCTAAAATGTACTGGATGTTTGTTGGGTCAATGTTGTTGCTTTTCCACAGACGATTTTCCCAGTTGGCTGGCAGAAAAAGAGGGATCTTACGCCCTATGGCAATCTCAGAGTTCCGATCATGTTGCTTTGATATATTCTGTAACCACTCTTGAATACCTTGGGGATTTCAGGGATACTTTTAAGCCATATATCTCTGCCCTAAGAAGCCACTAGCCAGAAAAAGAGTTATGATTCTATTATAGTCATTGATTGTTCTACTAATAATTAACTTTACCTGATTACTTTTATCACCTTTTAATGGAAAAGGAAATTTATTTTAAATTAGTATATGACATTTGGCTTAAAAAAGGAACACAGTTGTAGTGGTAGAATGTTAAGGCTTCTGATTCTATTTTTAGACACTTGACAGAGGTTAAGTTTACCCTGAGAGTGACTATAAAATTAGCAACGATGAAAAACACGACTTTCCTCCAGTTCCTAAATGCTTCCTCCCCACCCCACTATCATGATCCGAATTCTACCTTGCAAGGCTGGCTAGAGACCAGAGGATGTACACTGGTACAGACAGGAACTGGAAACACAGGGAATCCAGGGCAGATGATCCCTTCAGGACCAGTGGTGGGAGTGGTGATACTGGGAGGGTAGAGGGAGAGTGGGTTGGAAAGAGGGAACCGATTACAAGGAACTATATGTGACCTCCTCCCTGGGGGACGGACAACTGAAAAGTGGGTGAAGGGAGATGTCGAACAGGGCAAGATATGACAAAATAAAAATTTATAAATTATCAAGGGCTCATGAGGGAGGGGAAAAAGTGAGGCGTTGATGCTGGGGGTTTAAGTGGAGAGCAAATGTTTTGAGAATGATGAGGGCAATGAATGTACAAATGTGCTTTACACAATTGATGTATGTATGGATTGTGATAAGAGTTGTATGAGCCCCTAATAAAACAATTTTAAAAAGTCAAATTAAAAAAATTGCCAACAGTTTTGAGGTTCCTTAATCAGTTAGGCACAGCATTTAAAAGAAAATTTAGTGCTAAAGTAAAAAAAAGGCTTACCTGTTCCAATAAACATGACATCATACTGGCCATCTTCTGCATCCACTCGATCTACTACAATTTGTGTGAACTGATAATTTACATCAGTTTTGATCATGATTGGGCGGTTATTAATAGGAAACACTGGATTATACATGGCTGGATGACTCCTTGCAAATGTTATAACATCATCAGGGAGGTCCTTTGTAGAATCAAATCCACCAAATGTTTTACTGGGACACTGTTAGGATACAAGATAGATGTATCTTTCATTAAGATATAAGGAATATGTTTATAAATGATATAATGACATATGGCCCAAGTAATCTAGTCTTGCTTATAATTATTTTTTAAAGTTATATATCTGATAAACTGAAAAATAGTAATGCTACTTAAATTAGTACATTTATTATATTCTATATATTTTCTAAATAAATCTCATTTCTCAATAGGGTTTAGTTATATCCCTTTGTATACCAAAAATTAGAAATGCATTATTTATTAAGTACATAGGAAGATGATTTTTTGCCTCTATTTTCAGCTCCAAAAATATTTCATTTATGCATTGCTTGAAGTATTTATAATTATGAAATAAATATATTACTATTATCAAACCAAAGCAAACCCACTGCCATTAAGTTGATTCCTACTCATAGCAATCTCACAGGACAGGGTAGCTCTGTCTCAGAGGATTTCCAAATCTGTAATCTTTGTGCTTGGACTGTCACGTTTCTTTTCCACAGGGCAATTGGTAGATTCCAACTGCCAGTTCGCTTACCCACGGCACTACCAGGGTGCCTTGTGTCATTCCTATAGATATATTTAGTAATTTCATTAAAGAATCTCAGATTTAATTTTGGGGGGACAGGTTCAATGTTTTCCTATGGCATCATGCTAAAATATAGCTTTTCCCCCCCTTAAAAGTAACATAATTTTAAATGCTTCTTATTTGTTCTATTTCTAACATAAATCCTGAATAAAGTATCACTAATGACTTTTAATAATTAAAATAGGTCTAGGGATTAGCAGGGATCTAATACTGAATATTTAGCAACCTGCCCAGGATAAAATCTGGTCAATTTGAAAGTACATTATGCCAAGCACTAAATACAGGTCACGGCCATTTATAACCAGGAAGCATGGGCTCTTAAAACCTTGGTGAGCACGGGCATAGTGGCATCCCTGGGCTATCGGTGCTCTACATAAAGCAAAGGAACCCAAATGAGACAAGTCAGATCTCACTGTGTCTTCTCCACTGCACTTGACTAGGATATTCACGAAGTGAATTGGAAATTGTCTGCTTTTTGTGTTGCACTTAAACAGTTTCTCCTTTGTGATGTAAGAGCTTGGGAGACAAATATGTGATTGAGACATTACTGATTTTACAAGAGGCTTCTAAGAGGAAATCAATTGTGGACATTTGGCCTCCATTCAAGTAGCTACTCAATGCAAGAACACATTGTTCTATTAAATTGACATTCCATGATGTTCACCTTCCTGACACGATTGCTAAAGGAAAATGTGTGCATAAGCAAATGTGGTGAAGAAGGCTGATGGTGCCCGGCTATCAAAAGATATAGCGCCTGAGGTCTTAAAGGCTTGAAGATAAACAAGTGGCCAACTAGCTCAGAAGCAACAAAGCCCACATGGAAGAAGCACAACAGCATGTGTGACCACAAGCTGTCGAAGGGATCAGGGATCAAGCATCCAAGAACAAAAAATCATATCACTGTAAAGGTGGATGAGTGCGGAGTGGAGACTCAAAGCCCATCA